AACTCTCGGAGCAGTGGAAACCATGGCTGAGAGGGCCAAAAAGGTGCTATGACCAAGGCTACTGCCTGATCTGACCGAATTTTGTTCAGGACTCTTGTGAGTAGACAAACAGGTGGGAATGCGTACACCGCATTTTGCCCCAAGAGCAGAGGAAGGCATCGATCCTCCATGCTTCTGGGTCGGGATGCCATGCACAATAAAGTGGAAGCTGATGGTTGAGCCTCGAGGCAAACAAGTCCACTTCTGGGTGGAAATGAAGCATCTGACATGCTTCGTGAAAGAGAAGTGGATGGAGCTTCCACTCTGTGTGATCGTGAAACACTCTGGATGCCGTGTCGGCTTCCAGGTTGACCCGACCCGGCAGATGTTCTGCTGATAACATCAAACCCCTCGCTAGAGCCCATTTCCATAGAGAAACGGCAGTTTGGCTGAGAGGCAAGGAGTGGCATCCTCCTTGTCGGTTGATGTATGAGATTGCCGTTGTGTTGTCCAACCTGAGTCGAATGTGGGAATCGCTCAGGTCGGATGCGAAACACTTCAGGCCGAAGAAAGCAGCCATCAACTCCAGCTCGTTTATGTGTCTCTGTCTCTCCTGAGGAGACCAGCGACCCCCTGTCCTGCGCCCGTTGCAGACTGCTCCCCAACCTTGGAGAGATGCATCTGTGGTGATGGTTAGAACCACTGGACTCAACAGAATGGCCCGACCGTTCCACTGAGGCAAACAAGCTGCCCAGGCCGCTAACTCTGCACGAGCTTGAGGGGACAACACCACTTTGGTGTCCCATGGACGATTCTGTTTCAGAGCGTTGTTTAGACAACTCTGCAAATTCCTGAAGTAAAGCGGAGCAGGCAAGACTGCTGCTGACGCTGCATTCATTTGACCCACCACTTCGGCAATCTGCCGGAGGGACACATGCTGCAACCTCTGCAAGGAGGTGCAGCTCCTGACAATCTTTGTCACCTTCTCCCGAGGGAGAAGCAACGTCATGAGATGAGAATCTATTTCCAGACCCAAGAAGATCAGCTTCTGTGTAGGGATCAACTGGGACTTTTCCCAATTGATCAGAAATCCCAGCCGTGATAGAAGGTCTATCGCGAACTGGAGATTCTGCTGACATTGAGATTGGGATGACCCCAAAATCAACATATCGTCGAGATATATCACAATCCGAATCCCTTGAGATCGAATTACCGCAACGATGGGCTTCATCACCTTTGTGAAGACCCTCGGCGCGCAATTCAGTCCGAACGGCATGGACTGGAATTCCCAAATCCTGCCCTTGAAGCGAAACCGCAGGAGTTTCTTCATGGACTGGTGTAGGGGAATGTGGAAATAGGCATCCTTGATATCCAAGGTGGCCATCCAGTCGTTTGGCTGTAAAAGCGACTGGACCTCCTTCATCCCTTCCATCTTGAAGTGGTCTGCGACCACATATTGATTGAGAGGCTTTAGATTGACTACTGGACGCCAGGTCCCGTCTTTCTTTGGGACCAGAAAAAGGCGTGATAGGAATTGTCCTTCCACAGGAGGCACTTCCAAGATCACCCCTTTTTGTTTCAGCGACAAAACCTCTGCTGCCATGAGGTTTTCGGCCTCTAGATTTAACCCTGTCACCTCTTCTGGAGGGACAAGTTGATGGGGTCGCCCTGTGAGATGGACCCTCAGACCTTTGCTCACAGTGCTCAGAACCCATGGATCTGAGCAGATGGTTTCCCAATGAGAAAGGAAATGCTGAATTCTCCCAGCAACTGGAAGAAGATCCATCCCAGAGGGCGACCCTGGCTCGAGACGAAGTGGGGGGTTGACTACTTTTTTGCCTGCCGAAAGGACTGATTTCCTTTACGGTATGACTTGCCCTTAGCCGACTGCTGACGGTTATGGAAGGACTGCTTCCCACGTCCTCTCCCAAAACTCATCTTGGGTTGAGAAGAGTCAACTGCGGCCAAAGGGCTACTGTAGACCACCCGCCTTGTAGACGGCTTAGGGTCCTTGTAGACCTTTTCCACTGTCTTACCAGCCTTATCGATCTCTTCTACTTTCTGTAGAATGTCATCCCCCAACAACCACTCACAAGTGGGTACAGTCAGGCGGTCATCCCCAGCCTGATGTTTAGTGCTGATCTTGTCGTTGACCAAGCACTTGAACTTATCCTCGACCCAATCATGCACCTGACGGCGCCTGAAGTAGGTAATGTGAGAGCACACTCCTGCATTCAGCTGACCAGCAATGTTCAAGTGATCAGCAATGACCTTAGCCTGGTCACGGACAGACTCATCCTCGTGCGAGAGCAGAGGCTGCAGCAGGTCCATCACCTGCAAGACCGGCTGTATAGCTTCGAGGGCATGACCCTGGATAGCCCTCAAAGCATTATCCTGTTTCACCGCCTGTACCGTCTGTTTCACCGTCTTCCACCTTTCACCCAAGGCATTGTGCAACTTGGGGGCAGAGACCGCTGCCGCCTGAGAGGCATCCAGGTGATAGGCCTTCTCTGTATCCTCAAAAGCCTTCTCCTGCCAGGGGAGAAGTCTTTGTTCCTTAAACCAATCCACGATCCCAGGGGACACAACAAGTCCCTTAACTCGTGGTTGAAGTGAGGTCAGGAAGGAAGGCCTGTCTTGTACAGGCTGCACTGCTACATCCGAGTGGACCTCAGAGTGCTCTGTGCTAGTGTGCTCTGTTAACCCTTCCGGAGAAGGGTGTTCTGAGGGAGCATGTTCTGACTCCGAAAGAGCCTCAGATTCAGAAGGATGCAGGTCGATAGCATCGACCAGCTCTGGATCCGTAGAAACGGATGTCACGTCCCTGATAGGGGACCTGGACCTAACACGTGAGGCAGAAGTCGAACGCCACCGACGTCTCGGGGCCCGAACGTCAACCTCTGAGTCCTCAGACTCCTCATCCTCACGATGAACCATTGCACGAGTAGTGCCTTGATTCAGATGGCCTCTGAGCGAGGACTGCTGGTCCAAAACAGATCTCATATCCGTCATAAGACGGTTGAACTCTGAGAAAACATCCCAATGACCACTAGTGGGCAAAGGGAAATTGGGCTGAAAGCCCGCAGTACCTCCCGCAGTCGGCACCGAAGTGGCAACTGGGCGTGCTCCAACATGTCCCGGCACCGAGGTGGCGGAGAACATGGCACGATAAGTACCAGTACTGCTTGCAGTTCCCGTTGGCACGGGTGCAAAACCAAGGTGAGGCAACGGAGCAAACGCACCTGACAGTTGAGTATCAGTTCTCATCCCTGCCTGCACGTACGTTGCCGTGGGCGGAGCAAAATCCCCACGTGACGTAGTGGCGGGCTCCATAACTGAAAAAATGCTGTAAACAAAACAGCAAAAATGAAATAATCAGACTCTAAACACACCAAAAACAAGGACCCACAGAGACAGTGGGACCTCCGGAACCTTCCTGATCCAACAGGAAACAGGAAAGATCGCTAAAATGTGAAAAAAACACACCACCAAGCGAGAACTACAAAAATCCACTTACCTAGCCGAAGGCAGTGAAGGGAAAGAGGAGGTCACGTGGGTTAGTGCCCGGATGTTGTTTGTTTCTGTGAAGAACTGCCACCTTGCGATTTCTAGGGAAAACGCCATTGTATTTCGGAGGGTAGCGACGTATAACCTTGCTCGCTAAGAATAGGTCTGATTAGTGGTTTGCTTCCATGTGTACTGTGGTTCTGGAATGCAAACCCACTCGATTAGGTGGACGGAAGTCCTGATTATTTGCTGTAATATACATGTACATCGATCTCAGTGCTGCTTAAATTCTTTTTTCTTGCTACTGGTTAAGACAGGTTGAAGAAACCATTTTTAGTCAACAAAATATGCAATTTAAAGCTTCTTATCTCTCGTATTATGACCTCTCCATTTTGAGAACCTAGCCCTGTTGTGCAATCATTGTTCACTGCTAGTCGTTGGAAAGAAGCCAGACTTCTTGTTGTTTTCAAGGGGTAAATGGGGGTATGCCAGCAGGTAAATTTAAAAACTTGAAGATTGCTTGAAGATTAGGGAAGACTGGGCCCAGAGATATTTACCAAAAATTACCAACATGGCAAGGTGGTTTTGTGGTTAGGTGGTTAGGGTTGTTGACTCTGAATTCAAAGGTTCTGGGTTTGAATCCCTGGCAGGCCCAAATGTTGTGTCATCACTCGACTCAGGTGAAAATGAGTACCCAATCCCACCACACTTTCGAAAAGAGTTCTGAGTGGTTCAAACCTTAGTGTGGTCATGGGCAGCTTGTACTTACTGTACAAAACTGATGGTTACTAGTATGCTAAAAAACAGTTAATTGACTGATTATGTGAAACAAACAAAGAAACTTTAAGTACAGATTGAACTCCACCCAAAAAATGAGGTCAAAGAAAATCCTATTAATTCTAATTTCACATAAATAGCGTTTTTGATGACCGTTATCAACATAATGAAAGTAGCCTATTACTGTCTGTACTTCAAAGCAATGACGCACGCTCCACTGTGAAGACACTCGTCAAAAGCAGAAAATTGCTCCACTAGTTTACTGAATAGTGACGTTCCCCTGCTAGATAGGACACCCTTCAAATCTAGACAACGGCTGGGAAGGCATCCAAAAAGATGGCATTCCCAAAGGAGACAATTTTTATATATAGCCTCGTGATTAAATCATAACACTTTTTACATGCGTTGCACAACTTCAAGTGTAAAGGAACAGGCACCAAAAAAAACGTAGACTTCGTTCAGATTATGTCTGGGTGGTCTAGCATGTAACTGTGTAAGACATGATCCAGCTAAACTGGCTAGCTGAGATTTCTACGCAGAGAAAATGGGGAACTCCGGTTGTCAGGTGACAATTTTGAACAACAGTTACCGGGCCAAAGCCGCATGTTCCGCCATGCTTGTTCTATCGCTGACCTAAATAAACTGCACAACTACGGCCTAAAACAACCCACATTTACTGGCTCGCCGGAGCGAAAATTTACCGGACGATCGCCTCAAAATTAGGAAAATAGTCTTACCTCCATCTGTTGACTCCGACATTTGAGCTGCCAGCGAACCAAGGGTCCAAAACATACACACATCTCCACACATCTCCAGGCTGGAGCATTTGAAGAGCATCTCGCAAACTCGGGTTGTCGTGTAGCCGAAGCCCCTTCCGAAACCAGTGGATCGTTGACTTCATTTTACGCAAGTTTTTACGGTGGGTTTCCTCAGATTATGTCACGGATGGGGCACACATCTTCTGTCGAATGTCCTTTGTGGTAAAATCCTACAGAAAGTGGGAGAAAACACGCTGTTTTATTTGATGTCGTGGTCCGATCGCGCCATTTCCATTTCTTCCCCGACGCACGATCGCTGTGACCACGTAACAGCTCACAGGCGTGCCAGCCGTCCCGCGCCCTGATTGGTCAGCGCCGTAATGTATTTACCAAGCTGGTCGCTGATTGGTCACATAGATAATTAGCAGATCGGTCACGTTTTCAACGCAAGGAACTGGCCCTGATGGGTCTGTTGTGGTAGCCTCTCAGCAGGCTCAATGAGATTTTTTATTTGCCCTGTAATGTGCTTTTTTTTCTGACGGCATATCAGTTTTTGGTACACGGTTTCTTATATATTGCCTCCATACCGATATCTTATATATTATTAGAAAAATATCACATCATAAGTATAAGCCCCAAATACGAAATAGCCAACTCGTAGAACCTGCTAAGGAGGCTGTTATGTTTTGTGGGTTCTGAACTGGTTCTGGGCGGATTTGTTGTTGTGTGAAATTCTGGGCTAAGCGGAGATAACAACTGACTAACCTTCAAGTAGACGTTGAGAGGCAAAAACGTTTTTTTCTGGCGTCCGATTTTTCACTCACTGAAGGCCGTATAATTTATACTATAAAGCAACGCCCTTGTATAAAGCAAACGCGGGGAGCTAGTAGCCTGGGTACGCTCGAGCGTTGCGTAGCGAAAATCCGGATGGTACCCAGGCTATGGAGCTAGAAAACATTACGATATTGCCTTCCGACATCTGCTTGGGATATCACAACTGACCTAGACCTACTCAAAACGTACAGCTCACTCTATATAAGTTTCTATACTGAGCACCGCGCTAGCTTCCGATTTAATATGAGCCACCCAACCCAGGCCTTTGGAGCTTTGTGTGAAAGAAAAAAAATCTTCCATCCAAACATCTGCTTGGAGATTGGCGTCAGACCTCGGCTGCTGCCACATTACGTCACATGAATGAACATCAATGTCCACTCGATTACTCGTGGATGCGATACCTCGTCATCCTCGCACGTTTTTTGGCGAAGAGGAGAGGCAAGCGGCCAGTGTTTCCGTATTTAGAAGATAAAATCGATGAGGAAAAGGTCATCTACAATTTCTCTCTGCGCTTCTGGCAGCTAGCCTTCCTACCAGGCGTCGGGTGTTGTTTTCTTGTTTTTTTATCTCACGAGATAGTCTATATATGTTAGCCATTGTTCCGAAATAACGTTTTCATAGATGAATTATCCTCTTCATCAACCCAGTTCAATCCTTTCATGAATGCACTAATCCGGATGTTATAAACTCTAAATTATCACATATATCATTTAATAAAAAAATAAAAACGCCATCCGATGCCTTGTATATAGGCTACATCCTGGAAGCAGCCTGTTTTTCCGACGTCAAATTAGCGAGTTAACGTTTTCAAATCCAACAATCTTTCGGTGGACACAAAAGACATGATGCCTAGTCTCCAAGCTTATCAAATTGGCCGGGCAGTATCCATTAGCCAGACAGTTGCCATTGACCACCCTTTGATGGCTAATGGACACTCCTCTGGCCAATGGATACTGCCTGGCCACCGTATGACAAGTTTGGAGACTAGGCATCATGATTTGATGTAAAAGCCCGCTATGAAAAAAAAAAATCTTTGCGGCTTCCTGCCTTTTGAAGGAATAGCGAGATAAACAGGAAATGGAATGAAAAAACATAATTCGATCTTCCCCCCAGAATCCTCTCGGTTATAATGTACCTCCGTGACAGTTGGAATATTAGATATAATATCTCTTTATTAAGACTTCCTGTCCTTTGTACATCCCTTATTATATATTATAATCTCCATGACGATCTTTTGGTGGCTGCAAAGGCAGTATCAGAAATTGGCCAGGCAGGCAGCTATCCATTTGCGACTCGAAGTTGGACTGGCATAAAAAAAAAGATACCAGTATACAAAGAAAGAAAAGAAAGCCTGACAAAAAAAAAAACTAAAACTCGTCAAAAATAAGCCGGTGCGCAAACCTCTGGTTGGGGACAAACCACAAGTATATCACATGCTTATGAGCTACCAAGGTTCTGTATAATGTCGAGCTACCAACATAAAATCATGACAATCCATTTGTCCTTGTTTCGGGCTAGCCTCTTTATCTGAGTTTGGTCATCGCCCTCGGCGAAGCCTGCGTGCCCAGGCTACCACATTGACGTAATGGCTGGCTGCGCTGAAAGCCTTAGCTTGCGGTGACGCACGGGAGAGTACTTACTGTCTCCACTCTAACTCTAAAATGGCAGGTCTTTAAGTTTTGCTTCACCATATGTATACAACTCGATCACGTAAAGGCATACTAACAAGCACTTTGCACAGTTAGCAGACCCTAAACACGTCAGTTCTAATGCCATGTCATTGGAACTCACTCGAAAATATAGCGTAACTAACATTTCTTCGAAATTAACAAATGCATTCCTACAAATACATTCGGTTAAGCGTCCGTCATTTTAGGGAATTTCTCTCTTTATGACGGGCAAAAAGTTTACATCTACATCCACTCTGTAATTTTGACAATCATAATTTGGCGTGCAATGGCATAGCAATCATTACTTGAAAGATAACATTTGTAAAGCAAATACATAATGTTTACTTTCACATGGTCTAGCCCAACAAAATACAGCTCTGTTTCTCACTTAAACACATTCATATACATAGTGACCAGCCCCTCAAACTCTATTCTGCCAGTTGCTACATTATGTACATGTAATCCTCCTGCCACAACACCAGTTACCATGGTGACAGCCGTCTGGTCCAGGTCATTGACCTTATGAGAAGACGAAATGGGAGATGTCAGATTTCCGGTAAGTATTCAATCCTCGGCTTCCTGAATTCCCCCCCATGCCACCGCCACTGGATTCCAACCAGATTCCGAGACCTTCATACCCTTTCCCAAGTCTGCGCTTTTAACTTCCTGTCATTCTGCTTGTCTATCATAAACCAAGTGCTGTCAACCTACTCTGTCCAGACAAACAAACCCACACCTCTCCCACCCAAAACTGTACTTTCGAAAACAAAAATAAAGATATTCGCCGGACGAACACTGTTTCAATAAAACTCGTCAGGAGTAAGGATGACATGTACAGTCTAGCTGGACGCAGAAGTGACTGTGGAGAACCTGTTAACAATGGTTAATAGACAATGATTGCTTTCAGAGGGCGACACGCGGCGCACGGACTTTTAAGTCTCCTGGTGTAGAAGGACTCTCAGCGGACCAGAAGGATCCTAAAGGCGCTTGTAAGAGCCTAATACGTAGTGGATGATGAGGCGCGCTGCACTGACAATGATAATCAGTGTTGGTCAACAGAGAACGTTTTATGCTTTCACCAGCATGTATTATGTTTACCGAAGGAAAACATATTGTTTTTGCTCTGTTTCTTCTTCTTCTTCCGTTCCAAACACTGACCTCTGACCTGGCCAATGACCAGACTGGTCTCTCACGATGGTAACTGGTGTTGGGTTACATCATGTTGCAATTTTATAGCAGGAGGGATTTAGACTCCTGTCACCATATATGTGAATGTTGTTTCAATAAGAATTAACAGAGCAGACCATATGCAAAGGTATACATTATACATTTGTTTGCAAATGTTACATTTCTAGTATGTTATTTTTTTATCTTCACCCAGAAGGTTATGGTTTTGGTTAGCGATTGTATGTTTGTGGTTTTGCACAATAATTCATGATCAAGAAGCTTCTATAGATTGTCATAAAATTTATAAATGGGTAAGTCTTGACCAATCGATATTGAAGCGTTTTATTGAACTTTCTTTGTTTTTGTTTTTGTTTTTTTTTTTGTTTTGTATGTAGTGCTTTTTTTACGCCAGCCTTCTGGTGGTAATTGCCAAATGCCTGGCAAATTTGATACTGCCTTGCGGCCACCAAAAGATGTACCTGGAAATTCGACTCGACCTACATTTTTCCTCATATGGCTAGTCCTGACGTAGACGAGGCAATGTGATTAGGAAGATAACACGTGAAGCTACTTTACTGTCGTCGCTGACGTCCTCATCCCCTGTTAATACCGCTTAATAGGGGAGGGGCCAACAAATCGGGTAGTGAAACCAAGACCTTAAAAACAAGGCTTTAAAACATACAATAGAGTCCATTCCGCGTCACCGTGTGGGTTTTTTCTCCATGTTTCTAATACGTTTGAATTATTTAGAAGAAAAGAATACCCCAGTAACAAAAGTTCTAAATTTTTCAAAAATTTTAAAATGAAAATTTGAATATATTTGAATTCATTTATATATTTCTGAAACATTTTGAATGTGACTGTACAAAGATCTCTTTCTTTAGAATAAATTTGAACTACCCATGTGTTTCTTTCACAATTCGAAATATTTAGAACTATTTCAAACAAATAACCAAATGGTAGATGTGGGTAATTGCCCCCATAAAAGTAGGTGCTAATCCTACTCTTCTGTCTTCCTCTGTATATTTTTAGATTTCACTGCTGGACACTGGTGGCTCTTTTGTTGTAAGGCATCAATGCCTGAAACCCAGGCAGACTAGCCTGTACTTCACAGGGATGTGTGAATTACTTCCTTCCCATCCCACTGACCCATTTACAAAATGTTAGAAATAATTCGAAATAATGGTAAAAAATGGTAGAGTGCTGTTAGAAATATTTAGAAACTATTGGAAATGTCATAATCCACATCAGGAATATTTCAAACGTTTTAGAAAACCAGGGAATTATTTAGAATATAGACAAGATGTTCAAAATATTTCCAAATTATGAAATTTCTTAGACAAACAATTACAAAGAATTCAAAACATTTCTAAATAATGACAATAACAACCCACTCGGTGACGCGGAATTGACTCTAACTCACGTCGATTGGCCACATCCCTGCGCCAAAAGAGGCAAATTTGTAAAAAAAAAATAATTAAAAAAAATTTAACCACAATTCAAAGAATATTTCTGTACAAATCGGAGTATCACGATTATATACCTCTCCAAACTCATGGCTACTTTCTTTCCCGCTGATCCAAGCAGATGTAGCTAGTTTTTCGCGTTTGGTACGAAACATGTGCACTTGTTTTTCCCATTCACCCTCTAGACGTGCAAAACAAGTTGTTTGCTACATGTAACTTTCCTTATTGAAAATTCGTAAATGTTAACCCGAATTTGGCTTCTGTATGCTAATTAAGTAGCTACAAATCACTTTGAAGAAAAACAGGAGTCCCGGAAGGCTCAAGCCTGCGTAAAGTAACCTATGCGCTTTGGGGTTCATGTAGTGTGAGTCAGTCATTTCAATTTGCAGCTTTAACTCATGCATGCATCCTCGCACTGGTGACGCAGGTTCTGCGGCGCCCATGAAATTTCTTTTGATATCTCTGCATTAATAATCTGTTGCGCGGTCATAGAACCGGAGACGTAAGTCCAGTCATTTCTTATGCCATGTTTATTTGATTATATGGGTGACATCCTCTGGGAACCACAAGACTGATGCGAGCGTGCGAATAAAAAAGGTTTGCATAAAAGTAGCCTTCATTATGACATCTGCGTGGTCATGAGGGTTGAACAAATGACTTAACATACGAGTATGGTATGGCGAATACAATAGACTCTTCATTTTCATTTCTTCACATTTTCTTACTTCCCTTTGGAATTAATTTCGGCATTCTACGGCATTAGTATCGTTTTCCAATATTTTTTGCAGCTTACGACATACATTTGCTCGATAATTTTGCAGTTGCTTGGTACAATTTACAGTTTGGTCGAAAACCATATGTCATCCATATCAAATCATAATGAGATTATCGTGGCCCTATTGAAAATTGAAAATCTTACGTACGTACGTTCCCACGTCATTTATAAGTAGAAAACGCGGGCCCACCATCTACCATGCACGTTAGGTTGCAAGCGGACAACAGTGCGAAAACAGTGCGGAGTGAGTACCTGTTTTAGACCTCATCGTACGTTAAGACAGCTCCTTGTGGCACCTAAGGACAAAACTCCCAAGGAAGACAAGTGTGGGGTTATCTACCACATAAGTTGCCAGGGAAACACCAACAGAGGCCCCTGTCGGGAAACTTATATCGGGGAAACTGAGCGCTGACTAAAAACCAGGTTTCTAGAACATAGACGACCCAGTTCTGTTGCATCTGAGGTGTCACAGCACATCCACATAGAATCACCGGGACACACAGTGGATCTGGAGGGGGTCAGAATCTTGGATACCGAACAGGATTACTTCAAGAGAGGCATAAAAGAGGCCATATACATCAGGGCACTTCAACCCTCGCTCAACCGGGACGGGGGGCGATATCGACTTCAGACAGCCTTTGACCCTTTGCTGACGTCACACGTGGGAAAAATCACGTGTCCACAACATTTGGGTCAGATAGCTGAGGAAGACTGAGTGATTCAGTCGAAAATTTCTGGTGAGTCAAATTTTGAGTTGGAGAACAGTTTAAGTTTTTCATCATCAGTTTAAGTTTTTCAAACTGCGAAATTGTACAATCAGCCGAAAACGAGCGATGTCAAATCAAAAGCCCGACCGCTGATGCAAGTAGGCTGCTCCGGGGGCGTATAAAAAGCTCCGGCGCGCAATCACAACGAACAAGAAAAGAATATTCCGCAAACGTAGGGGCGCAAGAAGTGATTGATTTTATTAGCGGACGACTTGCTACAAGGAGCCCGGAAGTCAGAGAAGGTCAAATTTGTCAAAAAGAATCAAGGAGATGCTTTTTTTTCTGGTCGGCTGAATAATATTGATTATCCCATGTTGAATCTAATTTTTACAATTCACCCCGCGTCCCAAAGGACTATGGTAGAACGGACAAATTTAATCCTCTCAGGTCTGGGTCATTCTGCCCTTTTGGATTGACGCGAACTCAGAAACCGATCTAAGCAAATATATCGCGAGAACAAAATGCACGAAAAACGCCCACAAATGGCTTTCATACGCGGGGTCGTGTGGCGTAGAGGCAGAGTGCTCGACTCAGAACCAAGAGGTACCGGGTTCGAGTCCTGACATGCCACCGATCTTGCGCCCTTGTAAAAGGCACTTAACACGCTTTCCTCACTTCGCTCAGGTGAAAATGAGTAGTTTGTTCCCTGTGTTGGCGGCGGTATTGATATATGTTGAAAAAACTTGAGTGTGCCGTCACCACGTCTTGTTGTACATGTTGGTATAAAAAAAATGTTGGCTGACACTTTTCAATTGCTGGGTCCTAAATTTGTCTCGTGTTCAAACAATGACCGTAACAAGCTAGGTGTAGCTACGTGATGCAACACATCTATTTTGTATGTATGTATGTGTGTGCGTAAGTGAGTATGCCACTGGGTTTGCTGTGGGTGTATGTTCTCGAATATACATGGAAACCCTGCCAATATGAGGAAATAAATTTTAGCAGTTCTTGGTCTCCCCAAAAAATCTATAAAAATAATTTTAAAAAATTGTCAAAATACAAACCGGATAAATAATTTGCCAGCATGGCAACATACAATCACAATTCCCTGGTCAGTTAAATTTTACTGGGAAATTACATTTAGAGTCGCCTTTTCTTGGCTGTGTAATGAGCTATAAGAACGCTCTAATATAGACGTGGTTAGATCTAGATGTAGGTACACTGTACTGTAAAGCAGACGGGTCCCGGACATATATGATATATCGGGACACGATAACAACATACGTGACATTCATACACAAGTTCAGTGAGACCCAAGTATGAAAGCTAACGGCGCATACACACTGTACGTTTACAAAATCATTATAAAAACCGGGCGATTGTTGGAGAAAATTAGTTACGTGCGTTTGGATATGGAAGCATTTTCAGTGGATTGGTTCAATGGGTACCCCCCTCCCCATATGCCAGATTGCAAAATCGTGGCGGGGAAAACGCCTGGTTGAGGCCGACAGCAGTAAGACTGTTAGCAGACATATTCCCGACTAATGTGCCCGATCAAACTTATCAAATGATATACACACTAGTGCTGGGGTTCAAAACCACGGATCGTGCTAGTACACAAGTCAACATTGTCACATACAGATATCGTTTTTCAGCGGTATTCGGTTCATGTCTCTTACTAAACATTTTAAAAATCTTACAGAGGAAAACTCACCAATAAATCGTTGCTTTTTGTCGCGAAAATCAGCTAAAAGCGAAGACAGGGCTCGAGCAGTCTTGAATTCTCAATGCACAGCCAGGAACAACTTCGTCATTGCCTGCAACGTCTGGCCTCTAACATGTCAGGGTACACGTGATTCCTCAATAACCTCTTTGCATACGCTTAATAAATTATGTTCATGAGATGCACGCAGGTAACCGCTATGGTTGAAGGCGTAAACAGCCTTTACTAAGGTGTGCTAAATCGCATCCAGACAGAGTTGGTAAATAATATACATTCCATACAAGACTCGGAGATACAATCTTCATCAAAGTGTGTAAGTTTTATGTTTTAGCTACGACAGAAGCGAAGGATAAAAACCTCCCCCCCTTTTGGAACGCAAAGTGGTACGTCCCTTACATAACCGCCCGTCGGTGGGTAGAACCAGTGGTGGGTATGTTGTTCCCAATGGTTAGATCATCGCGCAAGTCACATGGTTAGAGTAGAGACTTCGATCATGGCGATTCTAGAACATTCTGTTGATACTAAGTATAGAGATCCGGTAGCTATAAACTAAATTGCCAAGCATATCCTAAAAGTTAAACGTTCACTACATTGCTGGTAGCTACTGATATCATTTACAATTTATATATATATATATATATATTATATAGTCTGTGCTTGCAAGGTGCGTTATTGATCCCCCATTAGCAACTATACAAGTACAAAATCAAGTAACGGAGGGGGCCCCGAGTTCGCCACTTTTTAACATAAATCACACATTTCAAAGGAAAATTCCATGAACCTCTTGATGATATATGGCCATGTCGAAAGAGTTTTTGTTAGACTTTTTACATACGTGTTACCATGGTGATTGATCGAACGTTGAGGTCAAGGGTCAACCTTCTACTTTGCGACGTAACTAGGGCGGTAGTTCCAAGGGTGTACCCCGAGTTCGCCACTTTTTATAATTTGTCAGGAAGTATCAAAATATGGATTGAAAGTGTTTTTTAGCCTTTGGATTTTATTCCTAGAGTTAACGCTTACTCGTTTGGGGGTAGTAAAACAAATACTTTGTGGCGCATCGGAACGAAACGCGCCATTTATTTGGACATAACAAGGTCGGTCCTCTGCGACGTAACTGTGGGTCATGTTCGGCGTTCCAGAGTCCAGCATATTACTGAACCATGAATATACAAGTGGGCTTTTGAGTATTTATTTGATATAATGTTACTTTTATCATGCTACCGACGTAAAACTGAAACTTACAGCTTTGATCAAGAGTCCATACCAACATCTATTTAACGGCGCATAAGTGAAGGGTTGCAATGTGTTGCGTACGCTGCTCACGGCAACTTGTTCCAGGAAAGAACGTACAGTACAACCTACGTTACAGTTGCCACTTTGTCGCAGGAATACCCTGAAATTAACGCGGGAATACGGCTAAAATGTCCTTGGTTAGATTTGGCAGGGAGAAGCGTAATTACGGAAAATACAGCGTGACTTTCGCGTTAATACCACGAGATCCTGCTACACTCATATGCGCAGCACGGCAACTTCAGAGAAATGGAGGGCGGAGCACTCTTTGTGGAATTCCCCGCCCCTTCTCACCGGCACGACGCGAGGTCCTACGTTTCAGCAGCATTCCCATCGGCCTGAACTGTTGCGGGCGTCCAGACACCAGCACCCGTCGAGCGGGAGCCTGGAGAAAGAAGTTGTTGGTTTTTTTTTTGCTACCGTCCGGGGACGTTATTTTTCCCTACATTTTTTTTTTTTTTTGGTTTGTGGATGGGGGCAGTGGATTTGGTGATATAATAGCATCAAGGAGAGTAGACTACGTTGTTGTTCACACCTCCAAACTCAATTATTCCCTTTTCCTGTTTTCAGGTACGCGGTTTTAAATGAAGTACTTTGCGGCGCATCGGAACGAGAGACGTGGGTAAGTTTCCGCCGACGTAAGGGGACTGTTCTTGCCGGTGCCGCGGCGCCGCTCGCCACGTTCTAAACCACGTCAGCGCTGATTGACCGCCCATCGGTGAGCAACAAATGATCGAGGCGGAGAAGTGGGAATGGTCGGAGAATTTATGTGCTAGCGTATTTAAAATTTGACACCGAAACCAAAACAACAACGAAGGGCTGCCGGGACATGCAATTCTGAACGGAGAGAGCGAAAAAGTTCTTTAAAATATCTCGTTTAGTAAACTACTGCTCATGTCACAAAATCAAAGGAATAAAAACTTCCCAGCATGAAAAGCTTCTGGCCGCTGGCTTCCCACGTTGCGTTGCCAAGACGACGGCACGTCCTGGCCAGACAAAGCGGCGTCACGCCCACAGCAGCACGCACATGGGCCCCACCCACCGGCGGGCAGCAAAAGATTTCAAAGACTTCGCCCGAAAAACCCTATCATTGTAGGGCCATGCCGTGTACACCTACCCAGCATTTTAACGTAGTACTGGCTGGTATAGTCCCGCTACAAAATAATTTTCTGCGGCATCTATTAATATTTAAAGACATTTGTGATACGAAGTGAAAAGATTTCTGTCATTTGAACCTTTGTAACGGCTTGGATATAACATTTGTTGAATATTTCTGTGTTTCACTAGAGCCGAAAGTGCATTAGAACTGACCATCAGGTGAAGCACAACTGTCATGTTATAACGTTATTCACTACGTTACGACGATCAAGAACAATCACGGCTTGCGGACCATTTTAAATCTTACCACTCATAACCCTCTTAGAATTGCGTTAATAATTACGGGGGTATTTCTTTTCGGCCGGGGTTCAACTGAGATCGGCGGCTGGCTGGCGACCGTCCCGTCAGCATGACCGAACACCGCGACGTGAGTGACCTAGATTATCTTACCATGCGTCTTCTCGTTTTGCCGCAATTTCGTGTCAATATCGATGATACACAAATGGAATACGTTCCTTTATTAAAGTTGAACTTTTATTTCCACTCGTCAACATTATCATCCGACATGTTATGTACGAATCGATGTCGTGCGCTTCAATTCTTCTCCTTGCCGGTTTTCGCTATATTCGTCGGTAGTCGTTGGATCTGTCGGGGAAAACCTCAAATAAGGTAAGCACCCCGACTTTGGCGGCGGCCTGAGACACTTTTTGTATTTTGAAAAGTTTTTAAAAGTGCGTACTTTATTCGGACATTTACGGTAATAAAGGTTTAATATTGTTTACCACGATGTAAGACCTCCCAAACACATTGGACTATGAGAAGTTTACAAACAAGTTTAGGGGAGAGAGCAGCCGCACCGATAATACGGCAGCGGCGGTAAAAGGAGAGGTTTCTCTCATGAAATGTAACTCTATGGATATTATATCCTACATATCATTCTCTTGTGTCTATAGACTCGATTTGTCAGACTATCTATAGATAATGTAACGAGATCTTACCTTTTCATGTCTCCATTCTTCAACTTCGGAAATTCGAACCACCCGAAATGAGAGCACGTTCGATCGATAAGTCAGGCGTTCGACGCCAAAAAAACTTCCACAACATTACCGAAATAACTGGTTCAAACATGCACAAGACGGGAGACTTTCCCATCCATCTTTATTTTGCAGTTTCTTGTTATCTTTAAGAAGTCTTTTCATATAATATCTAGTTTCCAGAACCATTTTTTCGATTTAAAACAATCAGAGAATAGAAGACGGTCGCTGTCGCCAGCCACGCGACCCAAACGTGGTGCCCATGCCGTGCGTCCTCTCTCCCCGTTGTTGTTACGCAGATCTCCGCTTGACTAGACCTGAACAGAATACTACATGCATATTAATCTTTGGTTGTCCTAGTTTCGAAGTATCATTGAAGTAGCCCTAACATTCTACCTTTCCACGTAAAAAATAAAGGAAACACAAAGTGGCGAACTCGGGGTACAGTGGCGAACTCGGGGCCCCCTCCGTTATGTAGATAATCTTCATCGAGTTATAAAACATGTATCATACAAATACATCTGACATTGCTGAAAGAAGATAGCTACATATAATGTTACCATGATACGAACGTTTGCCGAAGGTACCCGAAGACAACCGACTCGTATTAAAGGCCAATCGGAGACCGAACGCGTTATAGCAAGGAGCTAAAAAAATGTCGCTATGGAAGTTCTTGACCTTGAATCAAATTTAGTTTGTGTTTGTGCATAATTAATCCTGACGAAATACGTGTATTTACGGAACTAGGCCATGACATGTGACGAAGACTAGGTTACGTCAACAAAGACCGTGTTGGCGGGCACGTATATTCTGTGGCCTCGTGGACCCTCACGTGTTTTGGCAATCTCCAAGTTTTGGTGGCTGCAAGCCAATTATGATTGGCCAGGCAGTATCCATTTGCCGGGCAGTTAGCATTTGTTACTCTACTAAAAAAACACGCAAAATAAGCCGAAGCCCAAACCTCTGCTTGGAGAGTAGTATACTGTATTATAAAACAGTTAGGGAGCTTTTGCTGTTTAGTCCTTTTTTAGTAGCCTCCTTCGCAGACTTGTTGGGCGTCGGCGTTATTTTTTTCAGTGAGCGACGCGAGTAATATGCCGCGGAGGGACGATTTTGCTCCAACGAGTGCGAAACTTTCTCTCCACGGCTAAACTCCCTCGGCAGCAAAATCGTCCCTCCGCCGACAAGTATGCGAAGGACACAGGAGGTGTACTAATTTTTTTTTCTTTTCGAAAAGCGTGCTAACTACGTGCGTATACACTTGTACTGTTTACATGGGATAGCTATTGAAGGGAAAGACTAGTATCCCATTTTGTCACAAGGATTGTAAAACAATAAATAAATTCAATAAATAAATAAATCCAATAAATAAATAAATAGATTGTAAAACACTCCTATTATCCCATTAATTCACCAGCAAGTGGTGAATTACTTATGATTCCAATTAACACGTTTTACTATATAGTAAAATACTTTTCTGAACTACACATGCATAACGGAATGAACCAGGTCGGTCTAGATAGAATCATCGGACTACACCGAACAGACAACACTTTGGCCTTGGATATGAATGAGAAAGTGAATTCACTGACTCTACAGCTCAAATAAACATTCACCAAACATAAACATTAACATCTGGGAAATTCCCGACGATTCAAGCCATATACAAGTACAAGCACATACATGACATACATAAGAGTATACGTACATGGTAAGGCTACATTTAAGATTTAAGGTATAACAAGCAAAGCTACACATCATGCACGATAAAGAACCCACCACAGTTTCAAAGTTATCCAGTAGAGTAAGAGTCTATCCCAGTGTCAGTAGATCAAACCTACTACTATAGTAGTCTGGTCCGACTCATGGCTAACTGTACTATCCCAACAACGCTTAAAACTAAAGTTGAACAGCTCAGGTTGCACTTACACTCGAGACGGATGTTAAAAAGACTATAAATACACCTACACATTCGACAACATAGTCTAATTTTACACCTCGGTAGACTAAATATCTCTCTCTTGAGAGAAATCCTATGACTCAGAGGTCATTCAACAGTCGTTTGAACTTCCGATGTCGCGCGCACTTGTGAGAAACCTCCGTCATGAAAGACTGCGTGACGACAATAACAAAGGTTCATCCACAAAGAAGAGAGAAAATATTATCATAACGTGTTTGTATTTAACACAGCTACAGGATGAAGGTTATTATTCACTTGCGTAAGCGCCTTATACGTGAACAAGTTATTCGCGATATAAGTCATTGAACCGCTTGAGATATTCCGACGGTTAAAATCGAAGAATAAATTAATTCTTACTCAAACACATTCATACATATGGTCAGACAGGAGTCTAAATCCCTCTTACTATGAAATTGTTACATGATGTACTCCAACGCGTTACCGTGGCAGCAGACAAAACATTGGTTCAGGTCAGAGGTCACTGTTTGGAGAAGAAGAAGAAGAAACTGAGCAAAGCAATATGTTTTCCATCGGTAAACATAAAAAGAGATGGATTTCACTCCAAGCAGAGGTTGGTGGGGAAGATTGTGACCTTTCTATCATGTGGCTCATTTTATCTCTACTCCCCACCAACAGTAGCTTCAGAAAACGGGACATATGCATGATAGAAAGTTCAAAGTCTTCCCCACCAACCTCTGCTTGGATAGTAAGAGAATTAATTATAAGCAGTAGAATTACCAGATAAAACTTTCCATGCTGAGCATCTCAAATACATGTCCAGAAATTCTCCTCTTTTGAAAGCAACACAGATTTCATACATCTACATGATATGAAGTATGCTCCATTGTATGAAGCTGCATACGAGTTATCATTGTTATCATAGTACTAGTACACAGTGAAGGAGAAGGTTCCGTTCCACTACTTGCGTAGCATATGGGTGGTGACCATTTCTGTAGCCCTTGGGCCACACAGTTGTGCAAGCACAACAGCAGGGGGCTAGCCCGCTGGTAGTGTTATGTGTTTGACCTTCCTATACTCTTCCTCATAAATGCTTTGTGCTTTGTGAAAGCAGTATGTACCATTTATCAAAAAGTCTTTGGTATGACCCGGCCGGGGTTTGAACTCACGACCTCCCCGGGTTACAAATCGAGTACTCTGAGTAGAAGTTAAATGGACTTTTGGCTCTTCGGTGTTACGGAGGAGGCCACAGTTGCCCTGCTAAACGACATGGTCCTTAAATGTAAATATGGCGTTATTTAGCACACAGGGGCTGGCCCAATAGCCTGGGTACCACCCTGGTTAGTTTTATACCGCTCCCACAGTCGCTACCGACCAGTTGGTAAGACTTGATTATTTAGCACATTTATTTAGTTAGATTGGAAAAAGTGGGTAAAACACGTGTTAACAGAAAAAGTGGTGCTAATGCATAGTTTGTACTTTTAGCCCAATGAATTATCATATATTAGTGAAAAAATTAGTTAACATCCCTCTAACTCATTTTTTCACTAGTAAGAGATTTCATACAATCTCTACTAGTGAAAAAAATGAGTTAACACCCCTCTAACTCATTGTTTCACTAATAAGAGATTTCATGTAACTTCTACTAGTGAAAAAATGAGTTAACACCCCTCTAACTTTTATTAGTTAGAAAAAATTATGTGTTAACACAGGTAAAGGTTCTTAGCACGTGTATGGAATGAAATAGTTATCTGAACTAAAAAAAATGAGATAATATAGCTAGCTCTGGATGGTACCCAGGCTACTGGACCAATGGATATAACAAAGACTTTTGCGTTTTGGTTCTTCATCAAGTGTTAACGAGGAGGCTATAGATAGGCCACAGCTGCATCTGCCCTGCTGAAAGCTTTTATACAGGGTTTGACCAAGGGAATCAGGACGACTCGGACCATTACCAACTCGGCCCATCGCAAATTTGGTGAACTCGGCCCACCGCCCTGTCAACTCGGCCCACCGCCCTGGTCAACTCGGACCATCTGCCTGGTGAACTCGGCCCATCGCCCTGGTCAACTCGGCCCACCGCCCTGTCAACGCAAAATATAAGAAAAACACTCACCTTCGATTTTTTTTCTTTGCTCGCCGGGTGTTTTAGCGACGGATCTTTAGCGACGGACCCTTCGGCTGGCGGGCTCGTCATCATCGGGCTCGCCAAAGATTATAAGTGAGGTCGCTAGCTGAGTCTCACACACTATTTACAAGCATATACACTTACACACCGGGTCTTTGTAAACATGTTCTGCTTACTGTATGCGTATTTGTAAATAAAGCTCAGTCATACTTCTTGTATGTGTGTAGGTCAGCCACAAATCTTGTCGTGTGTTAGCATAACCGTGCACTTCCGGACGGGACATGAAATTAAAACAAACAGTGTCTAGCGTTATGAGCCCAACGTTCTTTCATAACTTTGTTATATTCCACAGACACTCATTTCCCTTGAGTTCGTTGATTTCCCGCAAAGATGCAACCGCTCATAACTGGTATTTAAACTAGGGACATACTAGGCGTTTCGCCGTAGGAAATGGGAAATCAAAATGGCGGATTTCCCAACCCAAGCTACACCATCATGCACTGCGTGTAAGACTACATCGGACTGAAGACTTTGAGGTTTTTTGAAGTCTCAAACCGCCGGCGTGGGCAATCACCATGACTTTAATGGAGACCGCGTCTTTTTGTTAGACAACTTAGAACTGTAGACTTTGAGTTTTTTTTTAAGTCCCAAACCGCCGGCTTGGGCAATCACCATGACTTTAATAGAGACCGCGTCTTTTTGTTAGACAACTTCGAACTGTAGACTTTGAGGCTTTGTGAAGTCACAAACCGCCGGCTTGGGCAATCACCATGACTTCAACAGAGACCGCGAATCTTTTTGTTAGACAACAGAACTATTGAATTGCTTGGCCATATAACGGGATCCAAGAAAGTCCAGTCATTTAGTGTACCGGAGAGCGACAGCCATGGTAACTTGTGTAGCATGCAGGAAAACGATTCGACAGGAGGCATTGCAATGCGAATGCGATCAGTGGCAGCACCGTACTTGTCAGACAGGTAAGAGAATCCTTCTGTTTAACTTACATTTAATCAATGTAAAGTATGATAGATACCAGTTAATTTTGATTGCTTAATCCGTTTTTTTTTTAATTTTTAAGAGATACATTTGTACTAGATTCCATGTCAATTTTAGTGAGAATTTTGAATGAATAAAAGCCATGGCACAATTTTTCTAGACTTTTCTTAAAAGTAAAAATTTTTGAAAATTGTTGCAGTTTGATTCTGTACAAAAACATTGTCAAAATAATTCAGATAAGTTATTACCCAAAAGCATGAAATAAAATTGGAGTTAACAATATGTATTATGTCAAGTAATATGATTTAACATTTTGCATCTTATACATGGTACATGTTATACATTTTGCATGTTATACATGGTTTGAGACTTCAAAAAACTCAAAGTCTTCATAATACATGTATGTTGCTAGTCCACGGTCTTTAGATTGATATGCCAGATGGCCATATGACAAAAGCCACATTTATAATGGTTGTACATAAATGAAATGTGTAGTGTCTGAGGAGATTACATAAGTGTAACACATGTAACAATTTTCAAAGAAGTTTGTCCCCTCTCTTTAGTTCTGTTATGTAATTTCAAAAATAGTATTGTTGTTATATAAAATTCATCTGATGACAGGGGTACCAAACACTTTTTCGTGCGTCTGCAAGTTATTAATTATTTTTTGTTTGTTATAGGGATCACTAGGGATCTCTACAGACGAATGGCCCAGGGGGAGGCTGATCAAGAATTGGTAGCCTGGAAATTAGGGCTGCGGACCGGTACACTGTACCGGTCCAATACCGTAAAAATCGTTTCGGTACAGGTCCAAAATACCGGATCAGGAATACCGAAATAGCTAGTTTACACCATGTATATGACTAAAGATAGGTAAATCCTACCACAAAGACGAAAAATTAGCACTGGAAAAGACGTAAACACCGTCGATTGATTTGAGATCCTCAGTCTCACGAGACATCGCGAGAGTGTGGCTGATCCAGGGTTGTGATTGGTCAACAAACTCAAATCAGGTTAGAGGTCAGTCATTATCCCTTCCCTCCATATTGGCGACCTTTGTTGCTTTTGTGTTGTGTCTGTATCAGGTACAGCATGGAGGTAATTTTTACCTCCATGGGTACAGGTACAGGTCCGGACCTGTACCTAAACCTCTGTACCGGTACATGTACCTGTACCTGATGTTACGTTTAGGTACGCAGCCCTACTGGAAATGCATCCAGTGCTCTCAGCCCTCCAGGGAAGAAGCCCCTTCCATGGACATGGATGTGCCACCTGCAGCCGAAAGCACGCGTCTGAGTTTGGAGACTGACGAAAGCGCGCAGCCCAGCCTGGAGCGTGAAGAGCTTGACGAACCCGAGCCCGAGCTTGACGAACCCGAGCCCGAGCTTGACGAACCCGAGCCCGAGCTTGACGAACCCGGCGAAGACGAGTGTATGTCAGACTTTAGCCACGAGACCGTGTCAGATGTCGAGGACATACATGAACTATCTCAGCAGCATCCGGACGACGAGACATTTGTAGACCCACAAGTCACATACGACACGCCGGTTACAACCTACCTTCTAGTTCCCGGAGCGTCACAAAGAGGCAAGGGCAAGCTAATCAGCAGTGATGGCTACAGCTATACCTTCAAGCGGGAAACGCAGACAACGATCCATTGGCGATGCGCCGTTCGCAACAAGAACATCGTCTGTCCTGCAACGGTAGTGCAGACAGGAGATGTGTTCCAACCAGGCCTGCCAGATCACCTCCATCCAGCACACCAAGACGCAGAGATCCGCGCCAAAATCACGTCGGAGATAAGAGAGAAGGCCCAACAACAGATCTTCGAACCTGCATCTAATCTCGTGGATGAGGTGATGGAAACCAATGCAGACAATCCGGGCTTGCCGAGTCACGCCGCCCTGATTCGACGTGTCAACCGTGCTAAGTCCAAGCATCGTCCGGCCGAACCCCAAGATTTGGACTTTGAACTTGATGAAGAATACATCCAGGAAGATTTCCTGGTTCGGGACATCGACGTGTCGACCGCAACAACGTCAGCAAGACACATCCTGTTTGCAACCCCGTACCAGCTTCGCCTCCTCGCACAAGCCCGTCGTTGGTATATTGACTCTACCTTCAAGGTTGTGCGTGCCCCTTTCTACCAATTGTTCTCGGTGCACGCGTTCATCAGAAGTGGAGACGTCATCAAGCAAGTTCCCCTCGCGTACGCCTTCATGTCCAGCAAACGCGAGATTGACTACCGATCCGTATACTCCTAGAACTGCAAAATGCACTGCCGGCTGACATCGAACTGCAAGAATGCGTGATGGACTTTGAAGCACCTGCTTGGCAGGCGTTTGCATCCGTGTTTCCTGGTGCACGACTGAAAGGGTGCGCATTCCATTGGTGCCAGGCGGTCTGGAGGAAGGTACAGGAGTATGGACTACAGACGGCATACCGGGAGGACCAGCGTGTACACTCATGGGTGAGACGGGTCATGGGACTCCCCTTCTTGCCAGCGGCCGCCATTCCACCAGCACTAGAAGAGCTGAGGAGGAAGTCAGCAGGTGCCCTGACCACCCTGGCGGACTACGTCCAGCGTACCTGGGTCAACGGAAGGATCTGGACTCCACGTCGTTGGTCCGTGTACATGCAATCGGTCATGCAATCAGTACAAAGAATTACCACTCTTCTGCATCAATCGGTATATAAAAGAGAATGCTAGCATCTAACAGGCTTAGCTTTCGTCCGACCGGACCGTCCGAGCGGACGAAAGCTAAAAAGGCTGACACTCGGGCTACATTCCAGCCGCTTCCCGAAGTCTGGTATAGGCTACTCTCCTTTTTGGCGCGTTTTTTTTATCGGGGTTTCTTTTTGCACTGGGTGAAAAAAAATTCCAGTGCAAAAAAAAA